TGGAACCTAGCACAAAGACCAACACTAAAAGAAATGTCAGGTCTACTTGCAGTTAAATATAATAAGGAACCAATCATACCTCTGTACATTGTCTGGTCCACACAAGTTCCTGAGGGATCTTCGTCTAATCTAGAGTTAGTTCCCATAGGAGTGTGGTTAGTCTTTGCGTTGTCAAGGTTATACTTTTTCAGGAGTTCCTTGACATATTTTTGCTGATGTATAAATATTCCTGATTCTGTTTGTTTGATCTGCAGTCCTAAAAAGAAATTGAGTTCCCCCATCATGCTCATTTGGAACTCACTACACATCAAGTCAGCAAAGTACTTGCACAAAGATTCGTTAGTTGCACCAAATATAATATCATCAACATAGATCTGTACAACTAAAAGATGAGTTCCTTTAGATTTTAAAAACAAAGTTTTATCAATTTTTCCTCGTTTAAAATCATTTTCCAAAAGGAACTTAGACAATCTTTCATACCATGCTCTTGGAGCTTGTTTTAGTCCGTAGAGAGCCTTATCAAGTTTAAAAACATGGTTTGGAAAATTTGGATTCTCGAATCCAGGGGGTTGATCGACGTAAACTGTTTCTTTTAATAAACCATTCAAAAACGCACACTTTACGTCCATCTGATACAGTTTAAAACCCATAAAAGCAGCAAAAGATATTAAAATTCTAATAGCCTCAAGTCTAGCAACAGGAGCAAATGTTTCCTCAAAATCAATACCCTCCTGTTGGTTATATCCCTTTACAACCAACCTAGCCTTATTTCGTACAATTGTACCATATTCATCAAGTTTGTTTCGAAAGACCCATTTTAAGCCTATGACCTTTTTATCTAGTGGCTTAGGTTCAAGATGACATACCTGATTTCTTTCGAATTCATTGAGTTCCTCTTGCATGGCTATAATCCAGTCAGGGTCTTCTAAGGCTTCTTTGTGGTTGCGAGGTTCCAAAGTAGATAGAAAAGCATTGAAGGCACAGAAGTTCCTCATTTGCGATCTAGTCTGAGTTCCTTTGCATAAGTCACTGATAATTTTGTCCAGTGGGTGTGACTTTTGGTGCTTCCAAGGTTTGGGCTGGAAGGTTTGGATAGGAACTCGACTATTCTGATTTCCTGAGCCTGTTGCTTCTTCTTCAGTGATTTCCTCTTGTGTTATTGGTTCCTCGGCAGGTTCTTCATTCTGAGGTTGTTCTCTCGAAGGAACTTCAGTCTGTATGTCGAGTTCCTTCTCTGGATTTTCATGATTTTCATTTAATCGAGTTGGCTGCTTATTTGGAATTACTGCATCTTCTTCTTGTTCTTGAGGACGTACTAGACCAATTTCAAAGTCATAGTCCTCATGTTCCTGTGTACATGGAAGTGGATTAGTTTCATCAAATATAACATGCACACTTTCCTCAACACACATAGTGCGTTTATTGTAAACTCTATACGCTTTACTGTTAGTAGCATATCCGAGAAATACGGCTTCATCACTTCTTTCATCGAATTTCCCTATGTTCCTTTTACCATTATTATGCACAAAACATTTACAACCAAATGCTCTCAGATGAGATATATTCGGTTTTCTGCCTTTCATAAGTTCATAGGGTGTCTTATTTAATATAGGCCTTAGCATGACACGATTTATAATATAACAGGCTGTATTCACGGCTTCTGCCCAGAAGTTCCTTGGAAGATCGCTGGCTATTAACATGGTTCGAGCCATGTCTTCTAAGGTTCTGTTCTTCCTTTCCACAACTCCATTTTGCTGTGGAGTTCTTGGAGCTGAGAAATTATGACTTAAGCCTTGTTCCCTGCATAAATTATCAAATTTAAAATTCTCAAATTCAGTGCCATGATCAGATCTAAGGTGTATCAGTTGATGTCCGGTGGACTTTTGAATTCTCCTGAAAAATGTGACAAACTCATCAAAAGTCTCATCTTTGCTAGACATAAAAATTACCCATGTGAATCTAGAATAATCATCAACAATTACTAAGACATACTTCTTTCCACTTCTACTTTGAATCCTCATAGGACCACACAAATCCATATGAATTAACTCTAAAGGTTTCGTGGAACTCACCATTTTCTTGGATTTAAAGGATGATCTGACCTGTTTTCCTTTCACACAAGCATCACAAATTTTGTCACATAGGAACTTGATTGAAGGAAGTCCCTCTACCAAGTTCCTTGTTCTTAATTTATCAATCAAAGAGAAACTTGCATGACCAAAACGTTTATGCCACAGTAAAGGATCATCCTCAATGACACTGAGGCAAGTTAAGTTGTTCCTCGGAACTGTATTGAGATCCACTGTATAAGTGTTCCCTTTCCGAGTTCCTTCCAGCAAAACTTTCCCAGTGTCATTCTGAATGATGCTACATTTTTCAGAATCAAAACTTACTGAGTTTCCTTTATCACAAAATTGTGATATGCTTAATAAGCTGTGTTTGAGGCCCTCGACTAAAAAAACGTTATCAATAGCTTGGGAACTTGACCTTCCAACTTTTCCTACGGCAACAATGCTGCCTTTCTTATTATCACCAAAGGTCACAGTTCCTCCTGTATAGGCCGTCAGTGAGAGAAATCTTGATTCATCTCCTGTCATGTGCTTGGAACAACCACTATCGAGGTACCATTGGTTGTTCCCCCTCACTACGACCTCCTTTGACCTTTCACTGTGTTTAGCCATCAAACACAGGTTTGCAGTTTCTTCTTCCGTGGATTCTTCTTCATCCTCAGAACTTGTGTCTCCCCACGCAGCTATCATGGCTTTCCTGTAATCAGATTTTGAAAAGTTAGGAGTATTAGATTTTCCGTGTTCCTTCATTTTGCCTTTTCCTTTTTCTGATTCCCAGAGAGGGCATTCCTTGATGAAGTGATCTGTGTTCCCACATTTGTGGCAACCTCCTGTTTCCTTGGAGTATTGGTTCTTCTTGAAGTTCCTTTTCTTTTGGTCACCAAACCTTTTGTTGCGGTACAGCTTTTTTAACTTCCTGACTAGCATGGCAGCTTCTTCCTCTCCAGATTCGGAATCCTCATCACTTGGTTGGGCAACTTTTAAAGCGATTCCTTGGCTTTTTGAGCTTTCTTGACTTTTGTTTGATAGGTGAAGCTCATGAGTTATCAAGGAACCTGCAAGTTGTTCAAGGTTAAAGGTTGTAAAGTCCTTTGATTCCTGCAAAGCAGCCACTTTGGCTCTCCACCGTTCATCTTCAGGAAGGCTTCTTAGAATTTTGCGTACCTGTTCATCCATAGGAACAACTCTACCAAGAGAAACTAATTCATTAGTAATATTTTTAAAACGAGTAAACATTTCTTGAATAGTTTCTTTTGAACCCATTTCAAAACGTTCATATTTAGAAAGCAGTATATCAATTTTAGAACGTTTGACTTCATGAGTTCCTTCGTGGGTTATTTCTAGTAAATCCCATATTTCTTTTGCTGTTTTACATCCCATAACACGAGTGTGTTCATCTGGCCCTAAACCCCAAACTAGGAGTTTTTTAGCAGTAGCATTAATCTCTTTCTTCTCAAAGTCATTTATATCATATTCAGAGATAGGTTTAGGAATTACCTCATTTTCTGCATTGGTCTTGGTTACCTCGTAATCTCCTACTTCGATAGCTCGCCAGACTTGATAATTCTCGGACTGTATGAACATCTCCATCCTTGTCTTCCAATAGGCATAGTACTTCCCATTGAAGAGTGGTGGTCTTTGTGTAGAGTAACCTTCAGCTAGTCTCTCGTCCTTTGACATTGTTCCTCCAGGAACTTGACTCGACAGGGCTTCCTGCTTTTCCGAGTTCCTTGCTCTGATACCAATTGATAGAACAATGTATACTACAAGAGGGGGGGGTGAATTGTAGTGTATGTAAACTATGGTAAATTTTGCGGAATTAAATCTACTACTAAGAGAAAAGACACTGAGATAGGCAATGAATAAATTCACTATGTAAAAATGATTTACAATCACTAATACGTTGCCTAGACTCAAGTTCCGTGAGGAACTCAAGTTACCCAACTGTGATCCCTCAATCACAGTTTCTCACACTTTGTGATTCTACTCCGAATCACTTGTACAGTGTAAACAACTCTCTCAAATCTCACACTTTACAACTCTCACAACCCAAACCCAATTACACAATGATTACAAGTATTTTCTAAAGAACTTAAGAGACTAAGGATGGAAGGAACTTCTCTTTTAAACACTTTGAAACTCTATGCTCAGAATACTTAAGATTGTTTTTCCACACTTTCAAAACTTAACGTTGATCTGTTTTTATAGGGAGATTATCCAAGCTTCCATCATGTTCCTACTTCCCCCTCAATCCCACGTTCATCTATACTGGGAAGTTGGGATGTAAGTGGAGGAAGTTGAGAACCATGATTTCACTAACTTGACTCCCAAATCCAACGTGCATCCTGTTTTTAAGCAAACAGAATTTTACCAAGTCAAAAATCAGTTTAAAAGAACATTTATTAAAAAGATAAATATTTATTTATTAAAAAGATATTTAAACAATTAATTAATTTAAAATAAATTTATCTTTTAAATTAAAGAATTATTTAGATTTTATTTATTTATAAAATAAATTTTTTCAACTGATTTTATCCCAATATTTTCAAACTGATTTTATCTCTTCCTTAAATTAAGGATTTTGAAAACTGTTAAAAACTTTTCTGAGTCATCCGTCAATCGTCAAGTTCCTTCAGGAACTTCAGGTTCCTTCAGGAACTTCAGGTTCCTTCAGGAACTTCATGTTTCTTCTTAGTTCCATCCAACACTTTTGTTTCTTAAGTTCATACACTGAGTAACTAAGTATATAGAGATATGAGGACATCTTGAAAGCTTGCATTCATCATCAAGTCTTCCAAACTTTGTTGTTCCTACTCCGGAACATATTACTTCAAACCTGAATCTTCTGCTTAACCAAGACTCTTTTAAACATCATTAGTCGGAGTTTGTTTTACGTAAGTCAATCATCAAAATATAAGGTAGTCAATTCAACACTCTAGCTCTAGAGGACACAACAAAAATGGACCATTTTGCCCTCTGGGAGGATTGGAGAACTTTGTTTCCCATGATCCCACCGGAAATCCTCAAGTCTGATAATTTTGTTACCCCCACCTTCCTAAATTAGAATATGAAAGTCATAATTTGGAATGTCTGTGGTGCTTCCAGAGACGATCTTATCCCTCATGCCTGGGATATAATCGCGACTCACAAACCGAGTATTTTTATTATACTAGAGGCTAAAAGCAATGGCAATCGAGCTGCTAAAGTCAATAAGCTTTTAGGCTTCGATGGCCTTAGGTTCGTTGAACCAAACCGTACTAAAGGTTGGATTTGGTTAATGTACAAACTCTCGGTTGATCTTATTATTTGTGGCACGAAACAAAGCAATTAATTTCATGCTTTGTTTAAATTCAAACCAAATAACCATGAAGTTTTGCTTACGGGAATTCACGCTCCTTCTTCTCCTTCTGAGAGACATCGTCTTTGGAAGGAGATGCGTGATGACTTACCCCCTGATGACACACCATGGTTGGTTCTTGGTGACCTTAATGAGGTCATGTTTCCTAATGAAAAAATGGGAGGTTGTTCTTTCTGCCAATCTCAGGCTAATGACCTTAGAATGCTAGTTGATGCGGCATGTCTAGTTGATTTGGGATTTAATGGAAATCCCTATACTTGGCATAATGCGAGAGAAGGGTGCGCTAATATAAGGGAGAGACTTGATCGAGCTTTGGCGAACCCGATCTGGCTCAATACCTTTCTAAACACTCAGGTAACTCACTTACCTCGTACTTTCTTTGATCATAATCCTTTACTTATTTCCTTGTTTAATAATAATATTCCGGGAAACTATCCCTTTAGATGTAAAACGGCCTAGCTACAGCATGCAGATTTTAACAATTTTTTTGCTAATAATTGGTTAATTGGTAATATTGAATTCCTAAAAGGAAGATCGAATTTTTTATCCTCCATCAACAACTGGAATACTAATGTCTTTGGCAATATCACTAGAAAGAAGAATAGATTAATTGCTCGCATTGATAGAATTCATAAAAGCCTTTCAAAAAATTACTCAACTTTTTTATTTCGTTTTGAAAAAGATTTTGTTGCATGAGTTAAATATGATTTATCAATCTGAACGCATTTTATGGGCACAAAAAGTTGGGCTTGACTGGCGTAAACATGATGATTGTAATACTAAGTATTTTCACCTTATTGCTAAGATTAGAAAAGCTAGGAATAGAATTTTAGAATTTTATGTTTAAAATTAGACTCTGATGGAATTTGGATAGATGAACCTCAGGCCCTTAAAACAATGGCTAGAGACTACTTTATTCATATTTTCATTTCCTCTTCCTCTGACATAAACTTCCCCTGCAACCAAGCTTATAGCTTTCCTAAACATCTTGAGGATGATATCATCCTCCATCTTCAATCCTGCCCTACTGCGGAGGAGATCAGACTGAACCTGAAAGCCATGAATGGTATTAACTCACCTGGTCCTAATGGTATACAGGTTATTTTCTACCGGAATAATTGGGCTTCTATTGGTGAACCTATCTCTGACTTTGTTAACATTGTTTTGTTGTTGGTAATATTTTTGATATTATTAATAATTCCTACTTATGCCTTATCCCAAAAAAAAGAGAACCCTGAGTCTATGAATGATTTTAGGCCACTAGGTTTATGTAACACGATTTACAAACTTATTACTAAATGTATTTCAAGGAGATTAAAACCTCTAATGGATAAGCTTATAAGCCCTTTTCAATCTAGTTTTATCCATAACCGCTCCATTGATGAAAATATTATTATCATCAAAGAAGTAGCCCATAGATTCAATAAAGCCACCAAAAAAGCTAACATAATAGCTGTAAAAATTGATCTCACCAAGGCCTTTGATAGTTTCAAATGGAGTTTTATTGAAGATACCCTAAGGGCTATTAATCTTCTTGACAAGCTCATCTCTCTTATTCTTAGTTGTATTCGTTCTCCTTCTATCTCTATCCTTTGGAATGGTCAAATTACTGACTCTTTTCGTCCCTCAAGAGGTATTAGACAAGGGGATCTTCTTTCCCCTTACATTTTTGTGCTATGTTTAGCTCGCTTATTTCGCATGATCCAAGAAAAGGTTCATAACAAGCTTTGGAAACCCCTTAAGATGTCCAAAGACATCAATCTCTCCCACCTTTTTTATGCGAATGACGTTTTTCTTTTTGGCAAGGCTGACCTTTCTAATATTGCTTGTATGATGGAAGTCTTGGACAATTTTAGGAAGATCTTTGGTCTCTCTATCAACATCCAAATATCCTCTATCATTTTTCCTAAAAAGATGGACCATAATCTTAGGAAACCTATTTTTGAATTTTGTAACATTTCAAACTCGACTAACTTTGGGAAATACCTAGGAATCATGATTAGCCCTAACAAGCTAAAAATTGCTGACTACCATGATCTTCTTGAAAAAACTAATTCTAGGATTCGTGGTTGGCAAAGTTAACTTATTAATATGGCGGGTCGCTGTACTCTTATCAAGTCTATCCTCAACTCCTATCCTATGTATTCCATGCAAACAAATCTTATTCCGGTGTCGGTTTTGAGTCAACTAGAAAGAAATGTCAAGAAATTTCTTTGGAATAGAGTTGATAAATCGAGATACATCCCTAGAACCAGTTGGAGTGTGGTTTGTGACCCTATTTCAAAAGAGGGTCTTGGAATAAGAAACCTTAGGAGGTGGAATCTTTGTTTCATAGCAAAGTTAGGCTGAAAAATACTAAATCAACCTAACAAACTTTGGGTTCAACTTCTCACTTCCAAATATCTTAAATATTCTAATTTCATGGACTGTAACCCTTCCCCTTATGCCTCCTCCATTTGGAAAGATATCCTTCAAGGGAGGGAACTCCTAAAGAAAGGTCTAACTAAAACCATAGGCAATGGGAAGGACACTTCCATTTGGAATCATAAATGGATTGGAGACTCTCCTTTTTACCTTAATGATTCCATTAAGATTCCTGACCTAAAAGGCCACTACAACATAATTAGAAACAAATCTTGGTACCTTAATGACATAGCTCATCTCCTCCCTAACCATATTCTTACATATATCCAAGCAATTCCTCTACCTCTCTTCCACTCCCCGGATGATAAGCTTCAATGGTCCCTGCATAACTCCGATTCCTTCACTATCAAATCTGCATATTTTTCCTCTTCTGCTTCCCCTAACCTGTCTACCCCCTTCCTAGTTAATTTTCCTTGGATGAAGATGTGGAAACTTAAGATGCCTTACAAATATAAGATGTTATGCTGGAATATTTGTTAAGGGAATTCTCCCAGTTGGTACAACTCTTGCTAATAAGATTCCTAATGTTGACCTTGTTTGTGTTAGATATAAGAATCATTCAGAAGATAATATCCACCTTTGTAGAGAATGCCTGATTAGCTCAGCTTTTTGGTCCATTGTCTTTACAAAATTTCCTCACCTTAATATTAATCTACAACCCTTTTTTAACACCAACTTTGAAAATTGGATGGATTTTAATTTCAAACAGGAAGGTTTCTGGAAAATTTTGTTTACTACTGCCTTGTGGCATCTCTGGTCTGCTAGAAACAAACAGGTTTTTGAAAATTTAGAAACTTCAATTTACTTTATCTTTAACAAGGTCAATGCCGATTATTCTTGCAATCTGAAGTTCTCACGGGTGGATAAGGATGCTCCCTCATTTAGCAGCATGCAGAACTTGGGCACCTCCCCAAAGGGTATTTTAAAGTCAACACAGATGGATCCTGGTTGGCCACAGACAATGCAGGTGCTGGAGGTATAATAAGATGTGACAAGGGAAAGTGGCAGCTGGGATTTACAACCAAAATCAAGACTCTGGGAGCCGAACTAATTGCAATCAGGGAAGGTCTTGCTCTTGCTTGGGATAGACAAATCAAATTTGCCATACCGATGCTCAAGCCCTGTGTTATATGCTTGAGAACCCAAAAGCATACATGGACCATCAGCTTGCAGTAATTACAAAAGATGTGGCTGATCTTCTGCAAAGGCAATGGTCTATCACTCTTCTTCATGTCAAAAGATCAGCAAACAAGATTGCACACGGATTAGCTTCCATTGGCAAGGAACAATCAGATGATGGAGTGGTTTTATATTACACTACTCTTCCCCACCAGCCTTCACTGACATCTATATAAAGGAGTTGAGGTTTTGTCTCGACATGGCAACTGCAGAATGATCCCTTCTAAAGAATGTTGCTTCAAGTCACAAACTAAGTACCATTTTCTCACTAATGCTCTTCTTAGTTTTTCTAGTTTTCCTAGTACTTTTTACTTAATTTGCTTCATGTATTGGCTTCTAATAGGGACTAGATTACAGGTCTTGGACTTCATGCTTGCTATTTTTCTAACTGTAAGCATCATGGAGTTCCATTTTGTTAGCATCAATCTGATGCATTTTTCTGGGTGTTTTTTAAGCACCATAATGTAATATAAGTTCCTTTTCGGTTAAAAAAAAAAAAAAAAAAAAACTATTACAAAGACTACTCTAAATCTCTATTCTCTAACTATTAGCTCATTTAGGCGCATATGGCATATTCGTATAAGCATGTTACTGCAGAAGATTATATTAATGTACACTTCTATTCCATGATCCACCAAGCTTATAAAGCTTAGTCTAGTGGTAAGGATTGTATCTTCCAACCTTGAGGTTGGGGATCCCCACTAATGACACTTTGAGGGTGGGAATCCCTTAACTGGCCTTCCCCCTCACTCTCAAAATGTCTATTATCCTAAATCAAATTAACAATTTATATTCCTAATCTAACTCTATCAAGTTTACACTAGATAGCGGCAAGCTAGGGTCGAACCACAAGGAAACGGGATATTGCACAATCAAAGTGGAATTAAGAATCTATTGCAAGTAACAAGGGGTATTTTGGTTTGTTTTTGTGAATTTCTAAGATTAAACTATCTACCAAAAAGATTAAAACAAGCAAAATAAAGAAGTTCAAACTAGAAACACTAAAATAAAAATGGAAAACAAGATTTTAAGGAAAATATGATCAAAAACACTAGGGAGAGGGGGTTCCAATTATGATCAACTAAGACAACAATGATAATCATCATGGATTCATACCAAGGAGTACAAACTCTACTCAAATAATTCATTCTCATGCAATCACTCAAGCAAGTTGATGAAATAGATCAAACCTAAACTAGATCATTCTCATGCATCTAATCTAGAACTCAAATATTGGAACTAAAGGTGCACATCAAGCATTTTAAGCACAAAATCATCAACGCAAGGCAAAACCCAATCAATCATCAATATAAACTCAACTAATCATGATCTTCACCCCCTTCCCTAGCTAGAGAAGAGAAGATAGCCATAGCAACTACACTAAGCATGGATTCAATCTTAACAAAACTAAACATGATTCAGAACCAAAGAAAAAACAATGAAACAAGTTAAAGGAAAGAAATAGATGGAAATAAACACTATCAAGAGCAATAAAACCAAACAAAAGATAAGGGTAAAGAGATTACTATTATGAAGCTTGATTAATTAAGCAAACATGAAGTAGTTGCATTGAAAAGAGGAAAACTTGAAGAAAACTTGAAGAGATCTTGATTACAATAATGAAAACTTGAAGATTAAGCTACTTTCTCTCTCTAAAATGTTGATGTTTTTCTCTCTACAAATGTTCTCGATGATATTGGAATAGAGGTCTCTCATGAAATTCAATCCAAGGACTATTTATAGTGTCTTGATAAAACAAGAGCAGCGAGTGGGGGAGAGGCCTCTCCGGGAGCTGCCGCGCCCTCTCCATCGTGGGTACGAACTTGGAAAGACCCAACTCGCCACGCCCTTTCCATTAACTGTCGCGCCCGCGGTCACCTGGGGAGGCCTCTCCGAGCCTTCTCCCAACCATCTCCAGAAGTTGAGATTTTTAGCTCAAAACCTGACCCGCGCCAGCAGCCTTGGTGCCCGTGCACGCGGCCTTGCTGCGCGCCTTCACCCTTAGGCATCTCCTCCTCTTGGACCTAGCCACATTAGCAACTTTAATTCCATTTAGCATCTTTAATTCCACCTATGAGTGCCAAGAGCTATCAAAACAAACAAACAAAAGAGAAAAGCAAAAGAAAAGATAAAAGAAAAGGAAAAACACGAAAAAGAACGAAAGTAACTAAAACAAAGATAAAAACGGCTAGAGAAGGCGCAAACAAGTGACAAATAAGGGAAATTCATTAGTGAAAGAGGGTGAAATAGTGGCATAAATGCCACTCATCCCTCGCAAATTATCGAACTAAAAAAATTATGAGGGTTGAAGTACGGTAAAAAAAAAAAAAATATGCATTCATGCTCCGATCCAACCTATGCACGGTGTAGTTTGAACATTAAAATCCCAAACTTCAAAGCCAAGTTGCTCACGTTAATACATACATATCCGTTACAGCCCCTAAAGATGAATAGAATTCTAACAAGTGCAAAACAAGTTCCTTAGCTCAACACGTACTTATACACGTGGAGCTCTCTGGTTCTAATCTTCATGTAACCCAACACGTGTCCCTTTCTCACTTCTTAAAAAAAACCCATTATATAGGGAGAACCATATTACCTTATTTAGTCATAACAAAACCAATTTCACAACCATAAAAAGAAAGCTCATAACATAAAACATCTTATTAACCCCGCAAAAAAAGAGATCAAAGAGTGCAATAATTTTCAGGCAGTTAGTTTGATCCAAATCCAAGATGCAGACAGGAAAGAAAGCAGTAGAGTCCGTCAAGGAGACGACCGCGAACATCGCGGCGTCAGCGAAATCAGGGATGGACAAGACAAAGGCGACGATGCAAGAGAAGGTTGACAAGATGAAAGCCAATGATGAGTACGACAAGGCCTTGGCCACCGAGAGGAAGCAGGAGCGCTTAACCGAGGCCGAGCTTCATAAACAGCAGGCTATGAGCCATAATGCTGCGGAGAAGGATGCTAAGACTGCTGCTGCAGGAAATACTGGAATCAGAACCGGAACCGGAACTGGCTTATTTGGTAGTAGTGATGGTACTAATACTACCATCACTACTACTACTGGATCTCACACTCACTCCACCACTGGAACTACTGGTCTTCCCACCGGGACTCACCAGATGTCCGCTATGCCCGGACATGGGACTGGTGAGCCTGCCGGTGGGTTCGTTGAGCAAGGGACTAATGCTATTGGGGCTCACCCTATTGGTAGGGGGGCTAGGACCGCGGCCACGAACCGGCATACTGGTGGAGGGGCTAACACCGGAACCGGATATAATGTTTGATTAGCTAGGTAGTTGTTTTTCATAGATTGGTGTGGTGTGAGTGACATTTTCTTGTATTTTTAGAAGAGGTGTGTCACGTTTTCATGCTTTTTAATTAATGTTTGATGTATTTAGGTATGTATTTTGATGTTCATCTAGCATAATACGGATACTGAGTATTATGTTTTGTATTGTTGTTTTCTGTTGAAATAAAAAAGAGAAGTGTTTCCTTTGGTTTGTAATTCATTAGTTCATCACCACCTATGTTAGTTTTAAAATTTTGAGGCTCATATCACTCCACTTGATCGTTCTAAATGCTTTAATTAATTTGCTACTTTGATTTGTAAAATAATGCACCTTAAAATTAATAAGATTGACTTTGCTTCATGCCTTCATGATTAATACACACTTGTTAAGAATCAAGTTTGTAAGGTACCAGACATGTTAATTTCTTTATTTTTTTTATTTTTGTACCGAAAAGAAACAAGTTATATATGTACTTCTATTTCTATTACTTTTTAATCTTTTTGACCATTTTTCTTTCATTAAAAGATTTTAAATATAAATATTAAAAACTGAAAGAAGGAAGAACATATAACCTTTTCTGATTATTGTGAGCACAGTGAAAATGAAAGTATTTTAATTAGGTTTTCTCCATTGCTGATTATGTAGTAGCACCTTCTAATGGTTGGCTTGGAGCTCATTTGGCATGATGAGTGGACCGGTTCGAACATAAGTGGACTAGGCCCAGCCAAATAGTTCAAATTGGGCTAAATATGCGCAAATAATAGGGGGAACTATATGGGTAATACCCAAACATAGGATATCTCACCTTTCAATCTAGTGGCCTAGATGATTTGTAATATTGTTCTATTAGCAACTTGTTTTGATTCGTATTGTTTTGTTTTTTTTGTATCTTTAATTGTTTGGTTGTAAAATGTTCTTCTTACACGCCTACACTCTTCCATTGTATGAAAACAATCAGTGTCATTTACATTAGAGTTCAAGATGAGAGAACCCCTGCTTACATTAGAGTTCAAGATGAGAGAACCCCTTCACTGAATATAGCAAGTTGATGCTTGGGATTGTATTTTTAATGTTTTAGTAAAAACATTGTGAGCTTTTTTTTTTTTTCTCAAAAGGTTCATTTAACGAAAATAGTATTACAACCGGAAAACAAACTAATAATGTTTGTAATTTTGATCTTATGACACTCGTTACGTAGAAGGTACATCAAGGTCCAATTTACTGGTATTATAGAAGATATATGAAGTTAACTTTTCAAATCAGGTTAGTGTAGGAGTAAATAAATATTCAAGTTTGAGTAGAGTATTTTGACTGTAATTCAAGCATTTAACAATTGAGTCATGTCTACATATAATTAAAAAGCTTCTATCCGTGTGTTCTGTTAGCATATGGATTGAGAAACATTGGACAAACATGCTCAAACTTCGTAATTTTTCAAACAGCACATCAGCGTAATTTTTCGAACAGCACATCAGAAGCAAACATGCTCTCTCTAAATTTTGTTAACAAAAACCAGAGCGGTTAAGTGCAGCAAAAACAACACATTGATTAGTCCTAAAAACACAAGCTCTTCCAAATCTTCGCAACTGCAAAACCTGCTCACATATAACCCATGAACATGGATTCCACATAATAAATTAAAATAAATCAACTTCCATTGCATCCACAACATGAAGATGAATGCACAAGAAGATCAAGTACGAACATGAAAATGGAGATTTAGCAGCTAAATATATTCTAAACATACACTAGGCCAATGGAAGGAGTCAATGGTCTATAGTCATGACATAGCTATTCCGAAAACAGTGCAAATACAGCCTGTGTCTGATTACTCTGATGACAGCTCTAACGTGAATTACAACACCATGCAGCAATGTACCTTCTTTCTATCTTCTCTTGACAGCAATTAGTTGAATGTAATGACCAGCCAATACCTCCCATGTTTAGCAGAATTCTATCTATTAGAGGTAGGGAAAAGCAAACAAGTATCATCCAACCACAAAACCTAAGGAAAACAAACAAACTAGTAATGACAAGCAGCGAATAAGCCATCTCTATGAATCATTGAACCTCATTTTACTAAAAAGAGTCTAGATTGGATTAGCCATATTCAAGATTAAGAGCTTCACAAACCCATCATCATGAAGACTGAAAACCCAACAAACAAAATTGGGATCCGCAAAGACTCATACTCCAGACTTCCGTAGCTCGGCTGCCCCATGAGCAAAGTGGCACCTATCTCCAAAAGTACATGAACCTTTTGTAAAGTTCTCACAAAGCTTGGTCCTGTAATTAGTTGAGGTAGGTCCATGGGGTGCTGGTCCTACAGGAGCCTTATTAAAGGGAGCATTTGCACTGACACTTGCTACAAGATCATGTACCATTTCACTCGCCATCTTGATCTGATCAAAGGTTCCTTCAAGTTCAATGTTCCTCTTGTTTGAATCAGAATCATGATCCCGAATCGAAAGCTTCACACCTGTTTGACGGCAAATCTGTTTCGAGTTCACACCACTCTTACCAATGATGGCCCCAGCTAAGGAGGCATCAACACTAATCTTAGCAGTTGCTGATTCGCCAAAGGCACCAGCAAGACCAGCAGGAACCGGTGGCTCATGTCGCCCAGAATAGCGTCCATGCATCGGATGACCCCCCTAGCACGAGGATCATCAAAGGATGGTGGAGCAACAGGTTTATTAAGTTCCCACTCACCATGGGCAAAATGGCATTTATCGCCATATTTGCACCCTTCAGCAGAGTTGAATTTGTTGCACAGGCGGGTTTTGGCGGCAGGAGCAGAGCCATTGTGTGACTGTGGCGGGGGTGGGGGTGGTGGGGCATTTCTTGACATGGGCGGAAGGTTCATCAGCTGAGCAACAGCATTGTAGCCACCAGAGACATGGTGTAGAAAGTGGCAATTTTCTCCAAATGGGCATCCAGATGTACTGCAATACAACAAGCATTAACTAGCTCAATTAAAGTTGCATAAGAAATAAATCGGAGGACCACATAAAACAAAGTAATCCTCGTCTAAAAGCAGTCTCCTGCAAATAGACTGGGCATCCTTTCCCTACAGCAACAGCACAAACAATTATTGAGCTAGCATGAAGAAAAGGAACCAATACTAACTGATTCAGACCAAAGTTTTCACACCCTCCACAGGATTAAGTACAAGCACTTCTTCCAGGAGACAAAGCCACAAACAAGGTGCTAGAAAATAATATAACACATCTTGATAGAGCACATCAGTCATTTAGATCATGTTACTAACTGAAGAGGCTTTTAAAATTGAATCCACACAATTGAACAGAAAATTCATTTCAGATGAATACGGCCAGACATAACATCTACTTCAACATGGTTAACCAAAAACATAACTTGAATGAACCACAAACAGTTAACCCACATTAATCAATCAAAATTTGCTAAAATCCAGTGAGACCACTGACATACAAAAATTGCTTCTAAAGATCAACTGTGATCAGATAAGCTAAAGCTGACTAGTAATATTGTCAAGCATACAGGTAACTTTCCCCAAACAAGTCCATCACTACAGACATCAAGCAGCTTTGAATCAGTAAAGCTACAAAACAAATTCATTGTTCCAGATATGACCTAAAAGATTTCATTTCGAACCTACTTCCTGGAGATACAAAGTTAATTTACCTTGAAGTAACTTCCAATGTTCTTCTTACATATTCTTTTTACAACTAAAAGCATACTTTCAATCACATAACGAAATTATACATTTTCCTAGCGGTCAAAGTGGTAGAAGCAAGAGCAAAGCTAGTATGAAAGAGTGTCACAAGGCAAAGTATAATATAGCTAAGTGAGAATGACATCAATACATAATCCAAAAAGTTATCCCTAAATGACTGAACCTCAACAAGGAGAGGCTACTTCTTGCACCATGAATATATCACACGCATTTATATTACGAAATTTCATCCATTTTTATTATCTCTAAGGCCCACTAATATATTTTAGATTGAAGATAAACTAATGAGAGCTGTAAACTTGGTGAAATTAAGAAACATAAATATGTACTCAAAATTTTCCAATCAAAATCTTCAACATCATGAACACAAACATACTCATCGGTTTCAGAATCACTGCAATAGAAACTGATTTCCATTAAAATTAACTAAATCCTACATATTAACACCTAGGCTCATATTACAGAAATGATAGCCAAATAAGCAGAAACAGTAAATTCATATGCAACTGGAACAGACGTATAAAGGTCTCAGGAAAGGAGCAAAATAAAAATGAAGCTAATCTGGTCAAATATTCTTCTAACAATAGAAGCAAAAATTAGTTGGTTAAGAACACTATAATTAAAAAATTTAGTAAAAACCCCAATCATAGAGGCAGAAAGTTTATATACAACTTAACTTGAAAAATAACAAGAGAAAAGAAAGGTAGAAGAATGACGATACTACATGAAAGACTACTAGAAATTCAAAAGTATTGACAATAGCAGAGAGATTAATAGAATATGTAGCAATTTACATAACTTGCATGCTTATGAATTTATATATTGATGGACCATAAAATCCGTTCGATAGAACAAGTTTAGACCCAAAACATTTGAGAAACGATACGCTAAAATGTTGATATTTATTAATTAAATAGATAAAGATATGAACCTGAAGAACTTGGTGCAAGGCTTTGATTTGCTTCCTATACCATCCGTTTCTGTTACAAAACATTAATTATTTTTTGTGAGTTTTCCTTGCCTTCGTTGTGTTGAATAAGTTGAAAATAATCAAACACTTAATTGAAGTGACTTTACATATAATTATAGAAAATAATAAAGCACTACTAAACCAATAGCTTCATCACATGACACAATTTACTGCACACATTAATACAGAAATGTCTACATTTGGGTAAGTCTTTTAATACGGAGTAAATTTAACACAAGTTATATGCTCCGGCTAGATAATATGTACTATAGACCTATGATAGCTTGACTTTATACTTATAGCTGTTAGCCTTTTGGATTACAATCCCCTGCAATGGCTCTAAAGTGTTATATTTATAAATTGGAGTTGCCTACTTCACTTATCTCGAAACAAATAGATAACGATCTTATAATCCAAGATAAACGTAGCAGATGCACACAAAATAAACTGCAAGCAATCTATCCTTAAGCTTACACCCAAATCACCAAACATCCCTAATCTATTAAATCAAAATATTTCACACAAGCAGCAACATTAAAAGGAGTTGCAGTGTTGAACACTATCACTTGCATCACACTTCAGAGTCCAAACAAATACTACGAGTAATAACACTAAAATCAGCAATATCACATAATTCACTGATATAAATAGTGGCCAATTATTCTGGGAGGTCCCTGTGGCCTACTAAAGTGTGACAGAAGAAGTACTAGGTACACTTCAAACCTACAAAAATGAGGCCTATTGAAAAAAATTCGAAATTGCATCCACATGGGCTACTAAAGCGTAACCCTTTTCCCAAATTAGGTACAAATCACAATAGTGACATCAGTTGGGTAAAACCCCATTCATTATACAAAGAAAATCAATTGTACAAAAATCCCAAATCAGAGATTTTTCCAATCTTGTACTTCTCACATAAATGAAAAAAATAAACCAAAATAAAATCATAATTATTAAGGTAAAAAATCTATTCAATTCTAACAATAATTCTACAAATTACAAGCAAAAGATTACCCTTTAACTTCTTTCTTCTAAGTTTAGATCCAAGTCCAGAAACACAGAAATGTAAAAAAGAAGTTTCTAGAAAATTATTCAAACACTTGAGAAGTTTCTAGAAATGAACAAACCTTGCTTATGCTTCTTAAATCCGCCATTAGAATGAACTGCACCAGCATCGTTGTTCCTTCCTCTCTTTCGACCGTCCATTTGAAGTTGAGTTTTTCGAGCTAAATCGAATTTTAAACCCAACAAAATTTAAGCAAAAATTGCAAATTAAACACCAAATTTGATAAAACCCTAGATTAAAAAAAGGAAAAAAAATTGAGAAAAAATTAGTGAAGTTAGAAAATGAAAACCCTAGCAGAACTAGGGTTTAGAGGTTTGGGGAGGAGAGAGAAAGAAAGGTTGAGGAAGAAACGCCCCGAAGAGAGAGAAACTAGGAGACAGAATATTGAGCGCTTGAGGTTGATTTTACAAAAAAAATATGGATTTTTTTAAATTTTATTTTTTTAATTCTTTTTATAATTTTCTTTTAAGAGTTTTTGGGAAAAGAAAAATATTTGAGGTGAGGAGGGATAAGAAAAATATTTGAGGTGAGGAGGTGGAGAGGAAATGGAAATGGAAGTTTTATGGGTTTTTTTAAAATTAATAAAAAAAATACATAAAAACTCTTCAAATAAAATTATTTATAAATAAAAAGAAAAAGGAAAATTAAAGTCGGTTAGTTTAAATACTGTATAAAGTGAAAGGAGGTCACGTGCTATCTTGATTGAGCATATCAAGAATCCAATGGCTGGATTGATGATTTGGGCGTGATGCTATTGGGTGGGTTTCACCTACCCAAGCCCGTATAAAGTGTAGTACTTTCGTACTTGTTTTTATTTTGGTGATATATAGTTTATTGAGAAAAAAAAATTAATTTTTATATTTTTTTATGAAAATTCTAGACAATATTAGAATTACTTTATTGATTCTAATAATTGATCAATCAAAATGTAAGATTATTTTTTTTGTAAAGATTGGACAAATGTATGATATCAGAAAATCAGAATATGTTAGAGTAAAGAAAATGTTTGGTTGATCCTGAGAGTTACAAAACCTTGTGGAAAAAAGGCAGAAAATTAATACAGAATAAAAATGTATGGAAGAGTTGGATACTAAGTTGGGGACAATATATCACCCATAAATTGAAGTTAGATTTACTTAAGTATGATTATAGTTTTTAGTTTTAACATTTAACCATAACTTAAATCATTTCATTTGGACTTAAATTAGACAAAACTAGTTAAGTTAAAAGAACTCAGTTTCTATGCAAAAAAAAATGAGCTCAGTTTAATTCAAACCGTTCTAAGTTTATGATAAATACATTAAATGTACTCAACAAAAAATTTAAAAAACATAAGAAAAAGAATCGATAAGGTTGAATTGAGAAACACTATTCAAAAACATTTAGATTAGTGATGCGAAGTATTATAAACATAATAATGCCCTAATAGTTATACTTCTTCCATTCTAAATTACGGAGTAGTTAACATGTTTTAACTTTCGACATTATTCATCAACCACTTTGACTAGCTTTAATAGATGATAAATTATAAGAAATACATAATCATGTAAAATCTTGTTAAATTTCCTCTCAACGCGTATTTTCATTATTCAAAGTATCAACTTTTTATGATTTTTTTGATAATTAGAGTTGTCTGCGACTAAAATTATGCATTGTCAAACATGATAAAAGAAACGTATCAATTAATTTAAAACTGAGGAAGTAAGGACTTAATATTTGCTTAAGTTCGAGAGCGTGGTACAAATCTCATGAAGTCAAACGAGACTAAATAGTCCATGTAGGCTGTAAAGAAGACAGCCACTTAAGAAATAATTAGGACATTAGTTAAACTCGTCCAAAACCTGAAGCATATGACGAAACTAAAAAATAAAACTAAAAATAATTATATACAATCTAATACTATTTAATATATGAAGGTGCCTAAGATCAAGATGCTGTACAAATCATCCTAGCCTCATATTAATCTGCGCTTTCCCTTTCTGATATAATCTGCTCTTAATCTATTTTCGTCACTCTCTGGTGAGTCTTCAACAGTCTGTTCTTGTAGAACAAGACCTCGATTTCTAGATAATTTTCTAATTGGGGTCGTCGTAGCAGCTTTTTCGGGAACTACATTTTCAGATTCAGTTGGTAACTCTGAATCAGCAGATATGTCTGCTGGAACCCTGTGTGGCATCAGCTCCTCGCCTTCTCCAACAGAATCCATCATCAACTGTAAAATCAAATAAATGATATGTTATAGCACATCCTTGAATCAGCTAAGTCCTCGGATGTTTCACTTCGCTAAATTTGAAAAGTCCATGGTATACAGCAACCATTAATCTCGTAACAAGCATGCTGCAATACTACAAAATGTGTTCGCTGTTCTTGACAAATTCACCAACTTTAACACCTTATTCAGAGATACGTAGTGATATAGTGAATATTTGTTCAGAAAAGTTCATGAATCCCATGAATTTGAATGCTTGGTTTTCCAGCCAACCATGCCTTGGATAATTCCAACCCAAGCTTCAAAATAATGAGAGAAGCACAAATCGACTGTGTTGGCAATCACTTTAGCTGGAAAAAGTTTGAGCTACATGCTAAGCCTATTTCTAAAAGATCAAGCAGCATGCCTGTTAACCTAGATGAAACTATCAATCAAACAGCAAACTTGGGCGATTGGTGCTACTAGGGCCTAATCAACATTGCTTATGCAAACTGGCTAACATTCAATGGAACTCAGCTTCTGTACTAAAATAAGCAGAATCACTAATTTCCAGTCCTTGAAGTAGGTCATACAATGGAATTCTCGCAAGATTAAAGATGGACGATACAGTAAAGCAGCTGGATGGGGTTTGAACTGCAGATTTACCTTCCAGTCCTTGAAGTCATATCTAAAGACAAAGTGACTGTATGCAACTTTGCCTGATGTGATTTCTTCAGCAGATGGAGCATTCCTAGGGCCTGCCAAAGGAAAAGAAACAATACATTAGCCAATGAGGCAATGAGTGCATCATAGAGATAGTTTGTGCATAAATATAAATCAGTCGATTAGCAGCGGCTCTTACAAACAAAATGGCCATCTGCATTTGCAGTGATTTCAGCTCTTCCATCTTTCACTAAAAATGACAAAGCAAATAAGTTTTCCACAGTCTGTGCAAAAGACGTTCTGTTCAGGATTAAATTTTCAAGCCGGACCCTTCGGTATTTCCCCAAAATGCCAAACATTATCGACATATTCTTATCTGTATCAGTTTTCTCTTCCACAGTGCTTTCAAGCTGCAATACAACCAAACAGGCATCTAGTGAATAATATGCAAAACGCATTGCAATAATATATATCAAGTACGAGCATACCGATCAACTTGTCTCTCCCTAACAATCAAGAATTGAAAAGGTCAATTAACAAACTAGGCAGCTCTACAGTCCCTACCTCTTCAGGCCGTGAAGTATCAGTTGGCTTGACATGTTTTTTCCGAACTACAGTCTTCCTTCTCTTTAGTTCAGAAGACATAGGCCCTAGCCTGACAATTTAACAAAGGCAAATGTGAAATCTAGGTAAATAAAACAGTAGAGAAATTTTGGAGCAATGGAAAGGTTTGCAGAAAGTAACTAACATGGTACAACATCCAGTGCCTTTTCTGAAAATATGAGAAACTGCAAGCCCAATGTCTTTCCAAAGTATCATGTTCCCGGAACCATCTAAACTGCCTGCAGCACCACCACCTTGATGGCCAAAGTCCCTAAGCAGGCAAGACACAAAATCTGATGGAGTCACGCCTTCATTTTTCTGAGCCCTTACAGTTTTCACAAAACTACTTGTAATGTCATATAAAGCCTCTGCATCAGCCACTTGCTCCCGAGGCTTCCGAACTGAAACCAATACATAGAGAATACAAAATGTAAACCAAGATTAATGCATAATTTGTCCTAAAACTTGTCTTTATTAATTATCTTCATATGAATATTTGAGCATTGAGACCTCCCCATTTGAGTTGTACTACAATTAAGAATTTTAAGTTATCAGCTAATAATGCCATTGAGAGAGAGTAGGAAAGAGAGCATTCTCTAACAAAGTAACAATCAAATCCCCTCACAATCTATGTTAATTCTCTGCCTCTACCCAGGACCTTCATGCTTTCATTAGTCTATGTCATGAGCTTTTGAAATTTAATTCTATAATGCTATTATAAATGTCATTCTTAAACTACTATCCAGATAATTACAGCACTTCTTCGTCAGCTTAACTTTCTATTATGTGTTTACCCCAAGATCAAACAGACGCCTCATAAGTTCCTTATAAAGCAAGCACAGCACATACAAAGTGCATAATTTGCCGCTCAGAAAATGCCCAAAAATATCAGTCAAAGAGTCCCACCATGAACTTAGTTGACTCTCTAAACACTATCCCACAACAGGTTTACATACAGCCAATAAAAGAAGTAAAATTGGCATCTTTTAGCACCTATTCCACTAGCTTTACAATGCACATAAAGTCAAGCCAACTTTATCAATGCATCAAACATAAAGCTAGCCAAATAGTGAGTAGTGGTTACACTAGTCACTCAAGGCCCTTAATCAAACCTACAATTTCACAATACTTGTGACTTACGAGTGCCCTAACCAGGAAGAACCAAACATCAATCACATTGGTTGAATTGCCATTTTTTTTCCCTCGCGAGATTTTTTTATCGTTGAACCTGATGACATCATTACTTAATTACATTAAAAACCCTCTTTGGCCTAATCCCCCCTTCATTTGCTAATATCAGCAAGCAGACCTTATACACTTAACTCAGGTTATAATAATTTAAATGCATGTTTCTAAAAATATCACAGCATTCAAAAATAAAGACATTAATCAGCAATGTACTTCACATAATTGAATACCACATAAAAGCCAAAAGCATAATTATATAAAACTACATTACAATTGACAAAAACATAAAAGGATGTTAAATTTTGAAATCAATGAACACCTTTCTTATGCAAACTCTCAACTTCATCAATCATAGTCTTAAACCTATCGGAATCCGGCCGTGACAAATCATCAGCTCCACCTACCAATTCAATTCAACTCATTAGCTCAATAATCACAACACAAACACCAATAAAACACCAAAATTCACAGAGAAAAACCAGATAGTAAATTCTTGACGGCGAGATATCTGAACCGAAGATTTCTCCTAACAACTACTTCATCTTCTTCCTCCTCTTCTTCTGCACCTCCACGCTGCGACGGCGGCCGTGGCTTCCGCTCTACGGCGACGGAATCACCGGCGCCATTTTTACGACTCCTCAATTCTCGACCAACAACAGTAGCAGCAGCATTCTTACTAGTACTTCCTTTCTCTTTCTTTACTTTCACCATTGTTGCTAAAACCCTAGAATTCAGAATTAGAAATTAAGGTACTTTCCCAAAAATTTGATTGAGATTGAAGAAGATGGAACCCTAAAAAGGAGAAAATCTGAAAATTGGGGGAATTAATTAAAGAAGATGTATTGAAGAAAAAGGGAAGAATGAAAATGAAAAATTACAAGTGTAGAAATAATGAAATTGTGGAATAATTTAATGAGAAGAGAGCGGGGTTTGGGGTTCGAAATTTCGAAGAGTTGGGGTTTTTCCCGCACTCTCTCTCTTTTACCTCAAAATTGTGAAAATTGGATAAATTTTGTGAAAAATTTGTTTACTCGTGGTTTTGATGAAGAGGTCAAGAGGATAGGTTTAGGTAAGATTTTGAGGACTTTACCCCCAAGAGCTCTACTTGTTGGAAGTTCTTTTCTTTTCTTAGGTAAAAGGTGAAAAATAGAATAAGGTTATCTACCCTATTTGGCAAGTGTCGTAAGGTTATGGGATTCGACCATTATTATTCAGAACACTTTAATGCAACGAAAAAAAATGAAACTTTGATGAGTAATAATTAATAAGTTGTATTTCTAATACTAGTACTAGTATTTGCTTGAGTTTGGTTCTCTAATTGCTTTTAAGACTTTTTTGCAATTTGTACATGTTTTCATTCTCCTCCCAATCGCAGTTCATCTTATATCCCTTTAAAAGCCTTCATTTGAGCTAACTAGTATTGGACGTCATAATATCATATTGTCTTTCTAACCACTTTTTCTATTTGTCACCCTATTCTTGCTTTCCACCTCTTATATTGCCCCACATATTTCTTCCAAACACCTCATAATGGGAATTAAAATCTCGTTAATATATTCCTCTTTGATTTGTATGTCATTTCCCTTTCCAAAGAAGGCTTGTTTCATATGAAAACAATTTCATTTCTACGGTAAAAATGCTCCACAATTACTGTAATGATGTACTTTGTGTGCTGTAAGTTCTTCATTTTTCGTATTGATAAAGTACTTAAGTGATTTTTTAATCAACAAACCAATCCCTTAGTTGCTGGTCTCAATTCTAATTCCCAACTCACTACAAGTCCCTATCCTTCTATTAAGATTGCAATCTCAGAATCAATGAGCCCCTTTTTCCTCCTCCCTTGGATGAATCACGAATGACACACTTTTCATTTACGTAAACACGATAACACCCATTTTTCTAGGCCCCCTTCTTCGTAGCTAGCGCATCTTTGTTTACCTTAATTTTCAAGTGAATATGATGTATATTGGCATGACATATATTTTCTAAAAATTCTTCCATGTCCTGAAATATTCCAAAGATAAGTCAACCCTTTTATTTATGTGTTAATAGTCCCATTTCACCCTATACTCCACATTTTTGCCCCCTCCCCCCCCGATCCATTTGTGTGATAATTGTGCATGTTGATTAGGCTCACCTGAAATGATACACCTTTCTAATATATTTTCTCTTTTTTTTTTAATTTAATGGTTGTTACCCACCTTGTTGTCATAACCAAATTAAGCTTGGGCTAACCTAGGCCACCCTCCAACATTTTTGTTTCAACGTTAACAAATTATACAACAAACAAGTCTTCTTAGATAATTACAAATCTAAAAATAATCTGATAATTTGATTTTTGAAATATAAACTCCCTTAATTTAAAAATCACATAAAATTCAGTATAGTTTTTGGAAAAAAAAATCCAATCCAACTTAATAATTTGATTTGAATTGGATTGAAATTTGAAATTTATCTAAATAGTTGACACTCTTATTAGTTATAAAGAAAGAAACTAATAAACGAAGTAAATCTATTGTGATCACTTTTCCAAATATGTTGATCAATGTATTGTTAATTTGTTAGGTTGATTTGATTCGAATCTTTACCAAATCAGATCTGATTTATGATTTGATAGTTTAAAAGAAAAACTATTAAAAAAAAAAAAAAAAAAAAAAAAAAAAAAGAAGCCAAACTCATTGGAGTTTGATCTTAAAATAAGCAAACTTTTTTTACTAACTAATAATAAGTTGTCCTTTATGGGGTATTTTATTTAAATAACTCTTCACTGGTTGACAACAAGTTGATTAAGTTAATATGACACGTGTTGCAACTTTAATGGTTCAGCTTTAAAAAAAAAAATCTTTAACTTAATTTTTATATGCTAAATTTTTACCCCATTCTCTCTCCTTTTCCCATTCTTCCACTGTCACTTTCTCTTGCTGCCACCTTACCACTCCTTACTCTCTCATCCTTTCTCCGTCACTTTCTCTTTCCTCCCCCCTCATCACTAGGGATGGCAATGAGTTAGATCTAAATCGGATCCAGATCCGCTTTTAGTTAATATAAGTGGTCCGATTCGCGAATCCGAAATATATAGATCTAGATCCACGTGAAAACTTTTTTATGCCATTAAAAATACTTGTTTTTCATTGATTTTGGAAAATTTTGATGATTACCACCTACTATAGTTCACGTTTTCGTAATTACCACCAACAAAAAAAAATTATATTACCACCAACAATTGTTCAAAATCTTAAATTTTACCACCAGTTTGCCCAAACGCCTTTGCATTACGTCATTTCCTTCAATTTCCCTTCTTTTTTCCTTTTTTTATCTCGATTTCCCCTTATTTGTTCTTTCACTTATTTTCTTTCTTTTATAATTCCCTTTAGTGACGCTAACCCACCATAATTTTTCCTCACAATTTAGATTCCCACTGCTTCTCTCTCTCTCTCTCTCTCTCTCTCTCTCTCTCTCTCTCTCTCTCTCTCTCTCTCTCTCTCTCCTCTCTCCTTTTCAATTTTTTTTGGTAATTTTTTTCAACAACACGGATCGAAGAGACTAAAAATGAACAAAGACAACATTAGAGGAGTACCAGGCTTTGGAAATTTATTGTTTTTAAACTCATGCATATCAGACAAAGAGCTAGGTAAATTGGGGGTTTTTTTTTTATAGATTGTGGTAAATTAAACATCAATGACAACCATAATTTTGTTAATCATAACATGAAATTTATGAAATTTGAGTTAATTTAATTAATTCGCCGAATGCTTCACTATAATCAAATCACAATTTTATTTCAAAACCCTAATTTCATTTCAAACCCCCAATCTAAGTTTCTGAAAGCATAAAACAACAATAATACATACCTTTTTCCTTGATTGTATTTGAGTATTGAAGCAAGGAGTATGATTTTTGAAACCCTAATTTTAGTTCTCACTTTTCAATTTTATGTTTTTGCCCAAATTTGAGATAGATGAATGAATAGAGAAGGGAAAATCATGAGAAGAAAGAAAAAGAAATAGAAAAATAAAGGGTGGGCCCCAAAGTGACGTCATGCAAGAGGCTTTTGACAAAGAAGTGGTAAATTTTGATGTTTAAGGCCTTGTTTAGTTCAACTTATTTTTACTTATTTCAAAAAAAATAAGTTCAGATCAAATTATCGTTTTATGTGCAATTTTTTTATCGCTAAATATCTTTAATTTCGTAAGACAAAAATTATGAAAATTACATATTAATAAAATACACATTATTACGAATGTAATAAGACCCCGCTTGATACATTTTTTCCTAATAGATTATCTTACATTTAAGGTCAAAGTTTAGACAGATCAGATCAGATCGAATAAGATCAAATAAGATCAGATAAGTTCAGATAAGCAAAAATAAGGTGAACTAAACAAGTCCTAAGAAAACTATTGGTGGTAAAATAAAATAAAAAATTATTGGTGATAATTACTAAAATTTGAAGTATAGAGGTGTTTTCCATATATAACAAAAAAATCGCCAATTAAAAATATTTATTCAACTTATATGTTTGTGTCATCAATTATCCAAATTAACTAAAATTAAAGTTGTTGAATAAGAAATATAAAAAAAATAAAAAAAAAAATCACAAAACAAAGTTGGTAATGATAAACAACAAGAGTAACGTCAAAAATATTTTATATTTTTAAAGAGGAAAGTCAAATTAAATAATGTACTCGTATAGTTATTTAAAAAAAATAGTTTTTTTTTTTATAAAAAACAGAATAACAGTAGTATATGGTCCAGATCTGGATTTCGAAAGTGAGTGTAACACCCCCATAATTCTCAATTGTATAAAATACTTAGTTTGGTGCATGTCATCATAAAAATGAGAATCAAGAGGGTATAACTGTCATATGCAATCAATTCTATTGATTGAATATTACGACATTTATCAAAGTAGGATAACGAAACTTTAAAATAAAACTTCTTGAAAATTTATTTAAAAATCGCTTAAGTCAAACTTACAAACAAGAAGGCGAGAACCATTAAAGGCCTCTTTAAAAATACTCCAAAATAATTAATCCTTCAAACATTGTCTCAAATAAACCAACATAGTATTTATTCATAAAAATAAACAAGAAACTCTCTACTCTCAAGTAATTCCCATGCAATCCTTTAACATATATAAATAAACTTGAATCACCTGAAATTCAATAATTTCTGCCCCCCCAAAATCATAAGTGTGAATATGAATCATCACATTGCAATCGAAGAAAAAGATATGGCAAAACAAATAACGTAACACAACAAGTCAGCGAATGCTGAGCATGTACACTAATTAAAAGAACTTAATCTAATTAATTAAAACTCATAAAATAAACTCCAAGTTAGGCTCATTAAAAAACTTCATTAATTAAAACCCTTTAAATAAAATTAACTTACTTTAGAACAAACAAAGCAATACTAGTCTAATTCATTTTAAAAACGAGTACCTCGAATAATTAAAACTTCATTAATTAAAAATCATTTAGACATGGTAGCACACAAATCAACAATTAATACATTATCAGCACTTTACTCAACTTGACTTGACTTACTTTAATTTTTCACTTTAAACTTTACTTTACTCTTCACTTTTCTTAGTTAGGTATATGAACGAAAATCATGGGAAGTCATGACAATACTTATTGCATTGTCCTCCGTCAACCCTATTATTTCTAACAGGAAAGAGATCAACTTTCCAATAAAACAATGTATGCACTCTGCTTCCACATAACACCAAAACCTTGGGAATTTCACTAAAAACAGTAGTGCAACGTCTCACACTACAATTAGGAGACTAATAAGCATTAAAACATTAGACTCCCCCCCCCCCCCGGTACTCAATACTTGTAGGGATCCTTCTACAAGCATCATGCCCTATTAATTAATTGATCTTGACTTACTTTAAATTCACATAACACTTAAATAATTCTTTCTTGACTTTATTAATCACTCTCTAGGTGATTAATAAAAATAAACATACTTGACTTAACTTGCTTGACTTAACTTTGACATCATATTCATACTTTAATT